ATTGGGAAGGCAATGGCAGCAAGTACTAGGAATGAGCACGCTCCTTAAAAACAGCCAGACATCTCAGCATACATTAGACCAGCCTTTCTCAACCAGGGTGCTGCCTTCTTGCATTGTCAGGGGTGCCTTCTAATTTTTCTTAAAGGGGGGTTTCTGATGAGCAAGTGTAGGTGGATGTTTCTGATGTGAAAGAGAGGGACTCTGAAGTGAAAGGAGGGGGACTCTAATTTGAAGTGAAAACTCCACTTGATCTTTTTATTTTGTCTGTCTAGGATAAGGGTCTGGTATGGATTTAAGGGGAACAACATCTTCTCCTTTTTTTTTACATGTTAGACTGGGGTACCTGAAGATTTTGCATAGTTTTAAAAGGTGCCATGACAGAAAAAAGGTTGAGAAACTCTGCATTAGTCTGTGTGACATCTGCCTGTCTATAACCGCCCTGAGATGTGCTTTCAAACTAGTTATTGCTATATATGTCTCAGTGTTGGTACCCAACTAGATTAGATTAGGACCACACTAACAGAGGCTGCCTAACATTTGTATGTGCCTACTGAACATATCAGCTAAGACCTTTTTGTAATACTACTAGCAACGGTGTACCTGTTTATTAACCAGACATAATGCAAAAATATCTGTAAACCAAGAGACATATACATGCATCTCAAAAGAAGGTATTTAATACTATAGATTAACTGTACTTACAATTCTGTACATATTATACAGCTGCCCAGCATTATACTGTTTGTTCTTTCAGTCCAGAAGGGTGGGCATGGCCATTAGTTATTAGTGGGGGCAATTAATAGTCTGCAGTTGTTCATATATTAATTAGGAAGAGCACTAGGACATTTTTCACAATTTCAAAAACTAATTTTATAAATATATATATATATATATATATATATATATATAATGTATATACATACACAGTGCCCATGATGTTGTAGCTTACCTTGAAAATGCTGTGATATTGTCTGCCAGTGTTTGCTGATCATCTGCTCCTGATCTGTAATAATCATATACTGACTTCTTAAGATAATATTTTGCATGTTTCTCAAAATCGTCAACTGTTATTAACTTTCCAGACATTTTGTGCCAATGTCTTTTGGGAAGCTGCTAAGCACTTAAAATGATGAGCTATTTGTAGCTGTAGGACAGAGTTGTAGATAATAAATAACCATTTCTCTGTTATGTTTGCATGACCTGTGTTTGGTTTCTCTGTAAATGTGTAAACACAGGTTTATGTGCATAGCTTTGGCACTGGACTTTCTCCTGCAGTCAGCACGGGACATTTGTCATTTGGAAATGGTAGAGTGACTCTTCCATATGATTATGGCCTCGTTAATTAGGGTAGTGAGTGGTTGATGAATGAACATTTGGCTGTTTGGCTGCACAGTGCTTGGTTGCCTTATCCCTTTTACTATTAAAAATAATATACAATTTTACCAAACAAACATCCACATTTAATTACCAATTCTAGGCAAAGAGTGAAAGCATTTAGTGAGCTACTAATGCTACTAAGTAAAGTTAGCAATGTTGCTAAAGTCAGAGTTCAGTCAGTATGAGTTCTATATGAGTTCCTCCTGAATAACCACAGAGCTCTATAGAGGTCTAGTATGAGTGAATTTCCTGAAGAATGTGCCAGTGAACTCCTTGTTTGCCTTCTACGTCATCAATCACTTTCCAGCTTCCAAGGTAGGATTGAATCTGAATGGTGGCAGCATTTGTTTTACCATTCTCTCTCCGTGTAAAAGATGGCAAGGAGAGGGATACAGCATCACCAATAGGCATGGACCAGGATCACCAAATTGCAGATAATGACACACCACCCAGCTTCCTAATTGGCTGGAAAGCCGGCTACATGCTAGCGGAAGTACAGGTAACAGTACTTGGTATTGGTGAGTACCAAAAGATACATATTGGTACTCATACTCGTACCGGAAAAAAAACAGTATTGGTGCTTCCCTACATATTATTTATTACAGGTATCTATATAGTGCCGACAATTTACACAGCGCTTCACATAGTTGCACATTTACATTAGTCCCTGCCCTCAAGGAGCGTACAATCTAAGGTTCCTATCTCACATCCATACATAGGAGGGCCGGTTTAGACAGGAGCCATTAACCTACCAGCATGTCTTTGGAATGTGGTAGGAAACCAATGCAAACACAGGGAGAACATGCAAACTCCTTGCTGCCACATAGTAGATGATCAGAAAAATAAATAGGACTTTAGTGGCCATACGTATTAAATGTCTGTATTACCTCTCAGCAATCAGTTACAACCTTAACATATCATTATAATTTCGAAGCGTTGGCTTAAATCTCATTAGTTGTGATGAGGAAATGCATACCATTCTCATTTCATGCAATGTGGGCCTGGGGTCAAGTGGGCACAACAATGATGGGAACATGACTGTGGCACATATGATTAGTGAGGACTGTAGGTACACCTTAGCTGATCTTCAGAGTCAATTATTTAAAGTGCATCTGAAGCCAAAACCTTTTTCTTTCTAGTTTTGAATAGAGTGGAGAGGGATTAGAACACTTGGGGGTCTATTCACGCAGCAGGCGAAGGATCTAGCCGTAGCTTTGACCGATCCTTCGGCTAGCTTCGGCCCCAAGGACCCCTTCGGTTCAGTAGAGCCCGTACCGCTCCCGAACTTGGCCGAGTGGCTCCGTCGAGCCACACTTCTTGTTGTGACTGTTGGACAGTAAGTGAAGGGAAATCTTCCCAAAGGGACACAGATGGCAAAAAAGCTAACTGGGGTTATAACCCTTTCTCTATCCAGAACTAAAACAAACATTTGGTTTCAATACTACTTTAAAACCCAACACCAGCCAAGATTTTGTATGTCGTTTTGGAGCAGGGAAGGGTTAAAGCCTATTTTTTTTATTGCCTATCTGTGTGCTTATTGGGGAGATTTTTCCCCACTTTCTGTCAGCACAGGTTGTCATAGGAAATTTTTTCAATGAGGACACAGACAATAGTAGACGAGTTGGTATACATTTCAAAACATCTTTTCACTTGTTCCCCAAGTTTGAGGAGGAAAGAACACAATCCGTGTCTCTTCCAGTTGTCCCAGCTCAACCTCCCATCAATTAGCATCTATCTCCGGACCAGTACTTCTTCAGTGTTTTCTGTTCATAATGGTGGTGTCTCCCTTCTTTTCACATGGGGCATAAGATAAGAACACTTTTACACATAACTCTAAATCTGTAAACAACAACAAAAAATGGCCCTAAAATTCTTGAAGTCGAGAATCAGTTTGTTGAAAAGGCCTAACACATTGTCATGAATTCTTAGTCCAGATTTTTTTAAAAGCTGACCATTCACTAAGATTTACAATCCTTATTACTAGGGATGCGCTAATAACAGTTTTTCGGTATCCAACACGAGTACCGATATTTTCTTATTAGTACTAGCCAATACCGAATACGGATACCGGCATCCCGAGGTAGCATGGGCCCAGCTTCCGGCCAATCAGGAAGCTGTCCCTCGCGACACTGCGAGGCAGCCTTGCTTCCTGACCAATCAGGAAGCTGGGCAGCTGGTCATGAATTTCCCTCTGACCGGTAGTTCCAGTATTGGAATAAGTATTGGAACATTTGGGCAAGTACGAGTACTCGCTCAAATGCTCAATATCGCCACCAATACCAGTATCGGTATCGGTGCATCTCCATGTACTACTTATCTGTTATGCCTGTGCTATATATCTAAACATCAATTTAAAAAACTATACATATTTTAAGTACAAGAAATAGAGCCAACATATTAAAATAAAAGAAATCATAATCTTTATCATATGAAAGATATATCTTAGAAACACAGGATTTCCCACCTCACCTAAGACATTGTAATAAACTGCTTTCTATTCAATTCAAAGTAAAATTTTCTATTAAATTAATAATATTCATTTCTGAGGCAGAGTATAATCTGTACAGAAGGGATCACTATTAACCAATGCCATTCTGCAGAGATATACAGGTAGACTTGGCCGGTCTTATAGCTGTTTACTATGAGATAGTAAGGGAGATAAATGTAACTTTTACATGAATTTTCAGAAAGTCAATTCACAAATCTTTAATGAAACCCTTCGATCATGAAGGAAAGACTGAGCTGACCTTTCTCCAGAATATCTCCAGACAACATCCAGCTTATTATTATTATTAACTTTAATAAGCACACAGACACTGGGAGTTTTTTTCTGCAGCCTGAGTCCCCCACCAGGAAACAGCTGAAGACAGAAGACCAGCCAGAAGAGGTAAGGGTAAAAAATTCATTAAAATGATATTTTTTTGTAGCCTAACTGATGTTGTATAAATTACTGCTGGTATTTGTAGTGCTCTACAGCAGGTGCCATTCTGCATTGCACCCTCTATAGAGGACTACAAATCTCAGCAGTACTTTATACAGCAATGCTATTGTTGTATAAAGTATTGCTGATATGTGTAGTCCTCTATAGCCTGTGCCATTCTGCATTGCTGTAAATATGGATGCACCAATACCCATGGCCAAAACTGTGTGTGTGGTTGGGTCAGGGGAGGCATGTGCCCCAGGCGCTGCAAGGTAACTACCGCACGAGCCTGGGGGAGAGAGGGCGGGGCCAGATTCAACTGCGCGCCCCGCCACCCACCCCAGCCTTGTGCGGTAGGTCCGCAATCATTGGAGGAGGCATTTTTCAAAAGATTCAGTTGCTGTGAGGTCCTGCAGTTCCTGGAGACATGTTATGTTCAAATATTTTTTTTTTCGATCTATTTTTCCAACTTTATCTTTTTGTGGTTGCTTCAGGGGGAGTGGATTGGGGGTTTTTTTTTCGGGGGGGAGGGGGGATCTTGCACCAGGGCCTTTTGTTCCTTAGGTCCGCCACTGAAAATGATAACCAACAAATATGGACTATCCATAATCATGACGTGATTTTCATTTCATCAAATACTCAGTATGATATGTTTTGTATTACAGTTAGGTAAGTGAGCACTGTATGTATTATGTCCTTTTATTTTTCTCACTCACAAAATTATACAGGTACAATAAATGACTTTCTTAGAATGAAATTCATTATGCTCAATAGATAAAATAATATGCATTACATCACAGCTTTTTGCATTACAGAGAAATTGATGAAAATGGTGTCAAGTCTAGGATAAAACTACCGCTGCCGAACACCAATGACTTCATTCCCCCAGAGCTGTTAATGAATACATGGCTTTGCTCACAGGTAACCTCTCTGTCTCGGCTTTCTGTCTTTACAGTACAAATACAAGAGTTCCCTCTAATGGCTAAACTGTAACATTGCATAAAGGAAATATCTGCCTTGTGTGCAACTGGTGTTTATGAACAATTTCAGCTCATATATGCAGATTGTTCCTGAAAATGATATCCTAACCTAAAGAATTATTCCATGGAGCATTATATATGTAAAAACCGGTAGTATAACATGACTCAGAGCAATGATATGTCAAAACAAACACATGCTTCAATCTCTCTCACCAATTTGTATATAAATATATAATGGTGAAACCTTGTGTAATGAAATAAAAATGTGTTCAATAGCAGACAAAAACTGGAGCAGATGTGCGTGGCAACCAATCAGCTTCTCTCTTGCTTGTTCAGTTCAGATTTGAAAATTAAAGAGAGAAGCTGATCGCTGACTGCTCCAGTTTTGATAAATTCCCTCTACTGTATGTAAATCACAAAACATCTCTATATGTACTGTAGTCTGTCCACATGTGGATGTGTCTACCACCCCCACAATGTCTGTGGCAGCAAACTCTTTATGTGTATTATACTTCTTCTCTAGTGCTGCACCCCGTGTATTACTTTCCCCCACCTACTGGAAAACAAATTCAGCAGAAAAGTTGTCAAGCACATAGGCGTCTGGGGATTCCTGCTGTAAAAACCTGAGGATTCTTGCAGCAGGAATCCCAGGTGTGTCCATACAGATATGGCCATTCTGCCTATTCAAGTTAATGACAAGGTGATAGCGGCCACATCTGTCCTTGGCTGTCCGCGTGTAATCATACGCAGAATGATTACCTGCAGATCGGGAGACATGCTATTTCAAATGTTGCTCCTTGATGTTTAAATGTTTTGGTTTCCTGAAGAATCAGCTGGTCACTGAGGACTGGCCGTCATGTTCTGTTTTAG